TCCCTCCCTCCCCACTTCTTTTCATTGCCCTTCCTCCTTTCCCAACTCCTCCGTTCTATCCCAGCTTCCCTTGCTTCTGTTTGCCCTTTAACAATACTTATCCATCCCTGTACTGGATGCCCGATGCAGCAAACCTGCACATTGGTAACTGAGGGATTCTAATCTTAAAAAAAAATAACCATCTTATGGGCTGATATGTAAAGGTCTCCAAGTATAGGGCGAAGCTTGGTGTCAGCCATTGGCTATAACTCGTTTTGCGCTAAGGAGAACTGCTGTGCCAACTCCCCGTGGGCCTAGTGGTATGTGCCTCGCTTCAGGCCGAACCCATGAGTTTGCCTGTCTGCTCCCAGGTATCCAGCCCGCTCCCCCCCCGGGCGGGGCCTGGTCTCCTTCCCTTGGTATCCACAGCACCCCGCACAGTGACCACTACTGTGCAAACGTCCTTCAGAGCTAGCTTACTCTCCCTGTGTGTCTTTTTCTTCCCTCTGATGACTCTGGGATGGAGGAAAAGTCTGGTTAACACATTCACACTACAGAGTGAGTAGTTTCCCTCCTCCCCTCAGCAGGGGTCCTATATAGTTCCCCAAATGTCCACAGCTGGAAAAAGTGAGTAAAAGCATGAAGCAGAAAACACTTCGAAGAAAAAGTTCCTGGGAGAGAGAAACCCTAACTGATCTAATTTTTTATTCCCAGCTCCAGGACGGTGCCGGGCACATAAAAGGCACCAGAAAATGCTAGTTAAATAGAACCACGCTGTGTCGGTCAGACTCTGAAATGATCCCTAAAGATCCTTGCCTCCTGGTGTTTGTGCCCTCCACCTGAGTGTGGGCTGGCCTGGAGACTTGCTCCTAACCAACAGAATATGACAAAAGTGATGAGAAGTCACTTTTGTGATTCAGTTACGTAAGAGTGTGACTCCTGTCTTGCTAGCCAACTCTGTTGCCTCCTAGGCTTGCAGGCTTCAGTGGTGCAAGTTGCCGTGTTGGAGATGCCCACAGGCAAGGAACTGAGGGCAGCCTCCAGCCAAGCTGGGCTCAGCACAGTCCCTGCAGAAATACTTGTTGGATGAATGAATGAACCATTGTTTCTGTTTAGTAATGATGATTCCTTCTCTCCTGAGGGTCTTTTTGGTTGGGGTCAGGAGACAGGAGGTGACTGGTGGCCTCCAGAAGAGTCCGAGGAGGAGAGAGGCACTGAGGAAGGCTGGCCACTGGGGGGTGTGGCATTCCCAGGAAATGGCCTCTGTCCAGCTCTCTCAGGCCCAGGCCTCTCAGAAGAGGTCCGGTTGCACAGGATGCTGAGGCAGGGGCCCGCCAGACTTCTGGCCCTGAGCTGTGCCTGCAGACCTCGGCGCTCCGATGGAGGGGGAGCTCTGGGACACAGCTGATGGGCTGGGCACCTGACCTGGTTGGGGCAGTCCTGAGAGCCAGTGGGGACCCTTCACAGGTATCCCCTCATGGCTGACAGATGAAAGAGGCTTGCTGGTAGCTGACCCCTTGACCCAGACAGACTAAGAGCTGTGAACATCAGGGGCTTTTGAGACGCTCCCCTCTGCCCCTCTGTGTTCCTCAGAGCCCCCTCATGTGGCAGTGAGACTGGGCCAGCCCCCCACCCCCCCACCTCCAAGGCCAGTTTTTCTTGGGCTACTTACTTCTTCTCTTGTCTTTGTCTGAACCTCGGTTTTCCCCTCTGGGAAACGGGCAGAACCAGCCCTGCACAGCCTGTATGGTTGGCACAAAGGTCAGGGAAGTGAGGAGTGGAAAGACTTATTGCCCAAATGTGAAAGAACAGAAAGGGCGTAGGAAAGGGCCCATTTTCCTGGGTACTCCGGGGGTGCCCTGCCCTCTCTCCCCGGGGGAAGGGAGAGAGGTGGCATTTCCCGAGCCCAGGCCCCCAGCTGCTGTAACAGGTGCCCCAGTTTGGCAGCTTGGACTGGCCAATCTGGCACCAGCCTGTTAGTGCTGCTGGGAGAGGACCCGGTGGGGCTGAGGCTGGTTCATTGGGCAGCTCTTTGGGGATGCAGTGGCCTGAGGTGATTCGCTGTGACAGGCTGTTGACAACACAGCTTCCAGGGTTGTTCTCGGTCACAGGCGGAGCTGCCCCAGCCACCTGCCTCTAAATGAACAAAAGAGAGACAGCAGACAGCAGACAGCAGCTGTCCATGTGGGGATCTGGGCTGCTTCTGCCCTTGTGGCCTCGGGGCTGCCTGCTGGAGGGCAGTGACTCCAGCCACAGTGCCCATTGCTGACAACCTCAAAAGTCACCGGGACTCAGATTCCGCCATGACCAAGATAAATATGAAGTCCTTGATCTAATGCTAAAGAGGAAACACAAGGACCTCCCTCCCTTCCTTCACTCAGTTTTGTTGAGCCAGGCACTGTACTAGGTGCTGGAACACAGTGGGAGCAAAATAGACATGGTCCTCTCCTCATGGAGTTTACAGTCTGGTGAGGGAGACACACGTCAAACAGGTAATTGCTCAGATAATTATTTAATTAGTTTTACTAAGTGTTATGAAGGAAAACAACAGGGTGCTATGCAATAGGACGCTGAGCCAGCCTGGGGTTCAGGCAAGGCCCCCTGAGGAAGCCACACTGACCTGGAGGATGAGTCTTAGATTGGGTGCCCTAGAAGCAGAACATTCTAGGTTGATGGGAATCTGTTCCACTTATCCATGTCTAGTATATAGGAAAATGATTGGCTTTTATGTATTAACCTTGTGTCTCTCAACCTTGCTGTAGTAATTTATTAGTTCCAGGTTTTTTTGTTGATTTTTTCAGATTTTTTTCCATAGACAGTCATACAATCTGTGAACAAAGACAATTTCTTCCTTCTTAACATGCATTTCCTTTCCTTGTTTTATTGTATTGCCTAGAACTTCAAGTGTTGTGTTCAAAAGCAGTGGTGAGAAGGGACTTGATCTTAGAGGGAAAGCTTTGAGTTTCTCACTGTTAACAGAAACTGTAGGTTTTTTGTAGATATTCTTTTTTTTTTTTTTCCCATTGATTTCAGAGAGAGGAAGGGAGAAGGAGAGAGAGAGAGAAACATCAATGATGAGAGAGTCATTGATTGGCTGCCTCCTGCATGGTCCCTGCTGGGGATGGAGCCTGCAACCTGGGCATGTGCCCTAACTGCTGAATTGAACAGTGATCTCCCGTGATCTCCTGGATCATATGTTGATGCTTAACTGCTGAGCCATGCCAGCCTGTAGATATTCTTAATCAAGATGAGGATGTTCCTCTCTATTTCTAGTTTATTGAGAAATACTTTTAAATTATGAATGGGTGTTGGATTTTGTCAAATGCTTCTTTTGGTATTTATTGACATGATCATGTGATTTTTCTTCTTTAGCCTGTTCATGTGGTGGATTACATTAATTGACCTTGCACCAGCTTTGCATGCCTGGGATAAATCCCACTTACTCATGTTGTATAATTCTTTTATACATTACTTGGTTCTACTTGCTGTATCTTGTTGAGGATTTTTATATCTATGTTCGTGAGAAATATTGGTCTATAGGTTTTTTTGTGTGTGTGTGTGTAATGTTATCTACTTTTTGTATTGACCTCATAGAATGAGTTAGAAAGTACTTCCTCTATTTCCATTCTCTGAAAGAGGTTGTAGAAAGTTGGTTTAACTTGTTTTTTAAAAAATAATTTTTTATTTTTCAATTACAGTTGATATATATATACTATATTTGGTATAACGTCTTTAAATATTTGGTAGATTTTGCAGTGAACCCATCTGTTCTGGTGCTTTCTGTTTTGAAAGTTTATTAATTGTTTCAGTTTCTTTAATAGATATAGATCTGTTCAGATGGTCTATTCTTCTTGTGTGAATTTGGCTAGTTGTGTCTTTCAAAGAATTGGTCCATTTCATCTAGGTAATCAAATTTGTGGGCATGGAGTTGTTCCTACTATTCCTTTATTATTTTTTAATGTCCACAGGATCTGTAGTGATGTCTCCTTTTTCATTTATGATAATAGTAATTAGTAATTTTTCTCAGCCTGGCTAGAGGCTTATTGATTTTATTGATCTTTCCAAAGAAACAACTTTCAGTTTTATTGATTTATTCTGTTGGTTTCCTATATAATCAACTTTTATACCTGGAAAACAAATACATTAGAATTTAGGTCTGCATTGATTATAAAAAGTAAATGTTAAAACTTTTACCTTAAAAGGTAAAGTATATCTGCACTACAAGATATAGCTTTTATTTCTTACACATAAGAGCTCTGCTTAAAACTTCATTTGAAACGAGGAGTTGCAAAAAAATATTTGAAAACCACTCAATGACATGATCTCTCGGGGGCCCTTCGATGATTCTATGATCCAGTTAGACAAAACACTGTTATGGTCAGATGTTTTTCTTTTTAAAATATCCATCTTTTAGCAGACCATAAAGCCACACAAATTAGTCAAATTTGATTGTGCATTTGGATGAAGTCAACTGGAACACAATACAGGGTAAGAACTCCAGACTAGAAATCAAGATAGCTGGTCCCTATCGTCACATTGCTCAGCCTCCATGTGATAGTGAGAATGCTTTTTATTTATTTTTTCAAACTATAAGAGAACACTTATTTGGTTAATCCCAGAGGTAGAAAAAGTAATTCATAGAAGAAATGGGCTTAAGAAACAAGTTATAGAGGCAAAGGGAGGGCCTTGGAGCTTGGGAGTGAAGAAGCTAATGGTAAGGCACCTGGCGGTGGGGAGGGGAAAGGAAAGGGAGACTGAAAGGTGTGGGAGTGCTTCCAGGAGGGAGAGTGCCAGAATGCTTTTTTAAAAAAATTTATCTTTGTTGTTGAAAGTATTACAGGTATCCCCCTTTTTGTTCCCCATTGATTCCCTCCACCCCACATGCTCAACCCCCCCAGGCCTTCACCACACTATTATCTGTGTCCATAGGTTATGCATATATGCATATAAGTTCTTTGATTAATCNACCACACTATTGTCTGTGTCCATGGGTTATGCATATATGCATATAAGTTCTTTGATTAATCTCTCCCCACCCACTCCCCCACCCTGGCCTTCCCAATGAGACTCATCAATCTGTTCCATGCTTCTATGTCTCTGGATCTATTTTGTTCCTCAGTCTATTTTGTTTATTAGATTCCACATATGAGTGAGATCATGTAAAACTGAATCAGGAAGAATCAGAAAACCTGAATAGGCCAATAACAACTGATGAAATCGAAGCAGTGATAAAAAAAACTCCCAGAAAACAAAAGCCCTGGTCCGGATGACTTCACAGGGAGCTTTGTAATTCTTTTAGTTGTCAGGTTAGATAGTTTACTAAAAATTTTTCTTGCTTTTTGAGGTAGGCCTGTAGTGCTATGAACTTCCCTCTCAGGACTGCTTTCGCTGTGTCCCATAGATTTGGGTGGCTGTGTGTTCATTTCATTTGTTTCCAGGAAGTTTTTTATTTCTTTCTTGATCTTATTGGNCTGTCTCTTATACACATCTAGATGTGTATAAGAGACAGGTTTAATAACATGCTATTTAGCCTCCATGTGTTTGAATGTTTTTGAGTGTTTTTACTGTAGACNTGACATGCTATTTAGCTCTGTGTGTTTCAATGTTTTTGAGTGTTTTTACTGTAGTTGATTTCTCATTTCATGCCCCTGTGATCTGAGATGCTTGATACGATTTCAGTCTTCTTGAACGTGTAGAGACTTGTTTTGTGTCCTAACATGTGGTCTATCTATGAGAAGGACCCATGTGCACTTGAGAGGAATGTATATTCTGCAGCTTTGGGGTGAAATGTTCTGTAAATATTCATTAATCTGATCTAGTGTGCCATTTAGTCACTGTTTCTGTGTTGACCTTTTGTCTGGAAGATCTATCCAGTGAAGTCAGTGGGGTATTAAAGTCCATGACTATAACTGTATTGCTGTTGATCTCTCCCTTAAAGTCCTTAAGGTTACTATTGATAACCTTCTTTATTGCCATTTTAATTCTTTATGCCTATGTTTCTCTCTCTATTCTTATTATTACAGCAGTCCCTTTAACATTTTCTGCAATGCTGGTTTGGTGGTGATAAACTCCTTTAGCCTTTTTTTT